AAAAAAAAAAACATATAAAAAGCTTTAAGAGACACATAGAATGACTAGAAAAAATGGAAATAATAAGAAAAATTCTTTAAGTGGTATAAAATATCATTTAATATACATTTATTAACTGCACATATTAATTCCAAAAGTATATTACTTTTGGAAAAAGCCATAACTCTGGAAGAGGAAGACAATACATGGAACTTCCCTATCATACTTAATTTATCATATAAGCTGAAATTATGAAAGCTGTGTAGAGATAGACATTCAAGAAGTCTCCCCATTAGTTAAATTTATCTCTGCTGTGTTTTGGGAAGCATAAAACTAGGTTTATGCTTGCACTACGGTGAATTCTGAACATTGTGATGATTTAAATATGAGAAACTGATAAGTGGTGGAAAATACAGAGAAGATTCCTATCATAAACAGAGAATGGAAGGTCTTTCTACACTTGAAACAAATATTCAGAAGCCATTAAAATATTGATAAATTTAATAAATGAAGATAAGAATTGTTCAATGTCAAAAGACAAAATAGTATAACATAAGAATGATTTGGGAAAATGGCAATAACTAATAGTACATACAAGCACCTAAAACTAGGCAAGAATAGAAAAAAATAGACAAACACTGAGTGTTCGGTCACAGAAAAGGAACTATTCATTCCTGAAGCCTTGGAAGAAATTCAAAATCTCACTCACGCTAAAATAAATGCAAATTTAAAATGCAGTGCTATTCCTTTGTAGCGCATCAGACTGACAACCTCTGAAGTCGCACTAATCCAGAGGGTGGGTAAACTGTGGGCAGAACCAGCAGACTTCACCCCTTCCTATTCCGCTCACAGAGATGGGGGTACGGTTGTTCCTCCTGTAGTAAGTTGCTCATTCGGAACGAGGGAGGGGCTGCAGTGACTTCCTGTCACAACTGTGGAAGTGACTTCGCAGTTTCCATGAGAATAGGATGTTAATGTCTCAGTGATGGCACCATTTCTAAACTGACTTGTTCATTTACAAGAATGTATAATGTATGAGCAAAATCATTTATGCAGCAGATTTTTAATTTCAATTGGATTTCTACTTTTCTTTCTTTCTTTTTTTTTTTGGTACCAGGGATCGAACTCGGGTCCTTGCACTTGAGAAGCAAGAGGCAGAACCACTGAGCTAAATCTCCAGCCCTCAACGGGATTTCTAATAGCAATAATTTATGAAATTTTCCTATAATCATGAAATCATCCAAAAATAAATATAATTTTGATAGGCAACATATCAATCTTTTGACAGATATCAGTTTTTCCTGGATAGAAAAGAGACATGCCAGATGTACTAAGGGGAAAAAGACAGAATAAATGTGTGCAATATGTAACTTTATGTAAAGGTAATAGAACATGTGTCTGCAAAACAGAAGGAATTCCCATTCAGAGTCAGCACTGGAAAAATACCTTTAGGAAGAAGACAGTCAAGTGGATAATAACAGTAGCTACAAGTTGGGAGAAAGGGCCAACCAAATGGATTAAGATCAAGGGGGAGGAATTTAAGTTAGTTTCTGCTGCTATAACATAAGACTGGGTAGTTTGGACGACAAACGTATTTTTCACAGTTTTGGAAGCTGGGAGCTCCAAGACCAAGATGGTAGATTCTGGTGAATGAGAGCACCCTTCCACTTTTGCAGACAGCCGTGTTCTCACTGTGCTGTCCCACCGCGGAGAGAACAAGCCAGCACCTGGCCTCTTCATCCTTGACTAGGGGCCCCGGCCCATGACCTCATGCAGGCGCAATTATGCCACAAAGGCCACACCTCCAACTGCCACATGGGAGTCGTGAGCCTCAACATAGGAAAGGACTGGGAGAAATAGGCTGAGGCAAAAGAGAACTTTTTGATGTTGGAAATTTGTGAAAGCTTATTACCAACTCAAAACTTTGAAATTAAAAAAAAACTAAAAATAACTGTGATAGGTACTAACCTCGTAGATGATTAAAATTGAAAGGATTCGGTGACATTTTAAAATAACTCACAGAAGAGAAGATGGAATTTATTTAAAAGTTAAGAATATTTCCATTGTAAACTTATATTCCCGATACCCTTGATAGTTAATTTTAGGCAACCTTCAAAAATGTTAGATTCTGGTTGTGGATAATCTTTTTCTTTTTTAAGATTTTCACATTTCTCAGAAATGCTGATATTTTCTATTTTTGTTAATAATTTAAATTATCCCCAAATTTGCATTTCATTAATGCCATAAGTTATGAGTCAAATATTCACAGTATTCAGGAGATGAAGATATAAAGAGGATGCAAATGATGAATGAATTATAAAACAAAACTTTCCTTCAAGAAGCTGCGACCTGAAGGAAACAGTACCCTGTGTTTCCCACAGGCTGGAAACCCAGATGGCCAAGCATTATGGGGATGGAAGGCAGTGAAGAGAAGGAGGCGGTGACAAAGTGATATTTTGAGAGGTCTGAACTGGAGGGAGGTACTGAATAATTGGCCTCTCGTATTCCGTATGCATGAGTATGAATAATCTCCGTCTGCCATGAATACAGGGAGGAGAGAATCGTTTGCTTCTAGATTTTCCGTGGTAGCCATAGTTAGTTGTAAGGACGTCATTTTCTTATAAAAGTGGAAAAGCATTGGAATTAGTATTTCATAAACACTTGGAAGCTCACCAGAGGAAAAAAATTTAACGTTTCAGAGTAAGTGACTCCAGAAGCAAAATCTAGACTGGAAGGCAAGAGTTGTTTTGGATAAATTACACCTGAAAATTTACTGCACCCTCAAGGGGCTAAAACTGAAGCAAGAGTGCTGGGTTTATAAACATAAAATCCAAGTAAATCAACTGATTTTCAAATATCTGAACATCATCCTCTTCATATTCAACCCCAAATAGTATGGGACTACAAAGTCTTGAGTGACTTTTGAGTTTTTGAAATAAATGTTAATAAAATATATGTAAATTTTGCTATATGTAATCTTGATAATATATAAAAGAATAAAAATTATCAAATGCCAATATATAATCTTATTACCAATAAAGAATGAAAAATCCACTTTGCTTGGTGTTTTCTCACTGTATCCATTTCCTAGGACCTAAAATCAGTAATATAGCAGGAAAACAAATCCACAGCAGGGAAGCAAATCTCCATTCCTCATGACTCAATATGACTCTATTTTGACTGAAAACTAGAAATGAAAAATGCATATGCCCACCCCAGTAGTTCTCCTAAATCTAAATTTATGATTGCTAATCTCCAAGGGTCCCCCAGAGCTGCATTTATTTTTATCTTTTTCACTGGGTTTTGTTTTTGACACTTTCTTCTACATGTCTGAACCTTAATTAGCTTATTTCATCATTTTTCAAGCATGTTGTATGGCTGTCTTACACACCCTCCCACTACCATGGACTACATCTCTATGTAGTGCCTAATGTCATAATCCACTTCCAAACAAAATATTCTGTAAGAATTGTCCACATTTTCTATTTCATTTCATCTTCTAGTGCCTAGCCAAGCACAGCAAGCTCTTCATCACCTACATCATCATGGAAGGGCATGGTGGAAGAAGGCTGATCTATTCATTGTGGCCTGGAAGGAGAGAGAGAGAGAGAGAGAGAGAGAGAGAGAGAGAGAGAGAGAGAGAGAGGAGGG